TACTTATTTTCCTCATTAAAATGCAAATCAATTAATAACATTTTTGACATGCGTTTTTCTGGATTTTGTTGTTGTTATTCTGTCTCTCACTGTTCAAATAAACCTACCATTAAAATTATAGACTGATCATTTCTTTGTCAGTGGGCAAACGTACAAAATCAGCAGGGGATCAAATACTTTTTTCCCTCACTGTATATGGAGATGAGCGTCACCTGATGCGCATACGAGTAATACTGCACGCGAGTATTTCAACACCGCCGCAAGAAATACATTTGTTTAACACGCTTTCGCGACCAATATCATCCATAACAGAGGTTTTTTTTGGGTTAGATCGCATACCTATGTAAATGTGTCGTTAAACCCGCCACCACTCGACACAGCCACATTGTGGGAATGGATACTCATTGTGATTTGTACGCATTCATTAACCCCCCCCCTCCCACTTCTCCAAAGAAGGGCTTACAAGTGACGTCATCACACCTACCCCTCTATTTAAGGAACGAAATAGGAAGATTTCTCCACAAATCTGGCTGTCGCCTGATGAAGCTGGTTGTAATTACTGGCGAAACGTCGTACTCAGATTGTAAATGTTGTGGCTTTGCTCTCCAACACACCGGTGTGCTGTACTAGTAACGAATTGGCATGCTCTATTTACGTGACAAACCTTACTAATTGGCTGTGTCGGGTGGTGGCTGGTTTAACGACACATTTATATATTTGTGCGATCTAACCCCCCCCCCCAAAAAAAAAATCTGTATTATGGAAGAAATACATAGCTTCCACACAGTTTCACAGTATTATATACATATTATACAGGCCTCGTATGCGCGTGCGTGCTTGTGGTGGGCTCGTTTTCAGTATTTAATGTCATCGAGTACACAACAAACATGAAAGCACAAACAATTGTATTAACTTATTACCGAGCAATATCTTCGATGCACTCGAACTTTGCTCCGGCACGCGACGACGCAGCGGTCGCAGCACGACCCAGCGCCGGCACATCGAAGCTTTGCACAAGTAAAAAAAAAAAACACCATTCTAAACATCGTTAAGTGTTAAACAAATGCGTTTATCCTCGCCGTGATTTCTCTCGGCATGCACGGCACTCAATCATCCCGATATTTTTTGTTTGCAGCGGAAAGGTTTTTAGCGGCAGGAGTAGTGCCGTCTTATCTCCGGAAGGGTCATATATCAAATGGGTGTGCTGGATTTTCAATCGGCTCTTTGCTTCTTATACGTATTTAAGTGACGATTAAAGCATACTCTCTGAACGTTGCGATTGTCCTTGTGGTTGCAAATTGCGACGTCGCCGTAAATTTATATTGACGTCAAAATTGTGGTGGAAATTCTCAATTCTGTAATTGAATTAGAAACTGGATTGGTTTTAATTTCTTCAATTTTTTTTCCTGTTGGTATAATTGGCTGATTAACAAACAATCCCATGTGTGGGTGACGTTAATTGCCCTCAGTTATTTATTTGACATATCAGTGATGAGTTAATTGATTAAATCATTTGAATGTTTTATTTTTATCATGAGGGTATTATTTTTTTAATTACACTTATTGCATGAACCATTTTCTCACTGTCTCGTTTGCGTGTCAGGCGCTTTATATATTTAAACTTCCACTTTGCAAAAACCTTTGAATGCTGATGTAAAGTGATAGGCTGTTTTTTTCTCCCAGCAGCATATGTTCATTAACAGCCCGTTCAACAAGTGCCTGATGTTCCTGCCAAGTATGTGTCTGTTTCCGTGTCTGTGTGTCTATGTGGGGGGTTGCGGTGGTGCATTGGTTAGTGCACCGCACTATGAACCCGGCGACCGGAGTTCGATTCCCACTCACAGCCAACACCAAGTGATGATTATCTGAATCAGTCCTGGGCCTCCCCTACCTGGTGTGGTGTGTAAAACATCACCACTGGTGAGACAAAGGCGGCCGGGCGTGGTGCTGGCCACCCACCACCCTCATGTACCGTGCCAGCCTTCATAGGTGCTTGTGAACAGCACTTGCCCCAAATGTCTGTAAAGGGATATTTGTGCGTCTTTGTGTGCGTCTATCATTGTGTGTCTATGTGCATCTTTCTGTTCCTGTGTATATCCTTGTTGCTCTCAGATAGACACAAAGAGACAGAGAGACGTCGAGATGTAGAAAGACATGTCCGAGCCGAAAGGCATGGGGCCTTGTAGCCCAGAAATATTTATAAAGTTATGCGCTGCCTTGGCAAATCGTTGGAGATGGTGTAGTAATTAATAAAAAAAAGCTTGCTCCTGAAATACTATATTTGGTCTGGAAATACTTTTTTTCTGATACACATAAACATGTTATGTTTGTGCAATGAGACTGACCATTGTTTAGTTCTTCATAGTTACGGTACTCACAATTGGCATGTGCAGGGCATAATTGCTGAATGAATTCTAAGCTAAACGGGCCTCACAGTGTTCATGGAGAGGTCTTACATATGACATCAGGCAACCCTGCAGCATTGCTTTAACAGGCCACACACCCTGCTGATGAGACTCAGAGAAGCCAACACCAGGCAAAGTGTTTTCTCTTTGCCTGAACAAAAGTTGCTGGATAAAAGACCATTCGTCTCCAAGGCTGATGCATCTAAATGTGATTTATTTTCTGGCATTTAACATCTCTCATTCTTTTTTCCTATTGATGAATTCATTATTTTATTACCCATGGTCCGACAGGCCAGTGCGTCATCATATTTTTCATGAAACACATTTTTTTAATGGACATTATTAGGTTTTTTTTTTTACGAATGTTGGTTGTAATTAGGGGAATATGTACACAAGGTAGGTTTCGGAATTGTGTCGGGGGCAGGTTGGTGAGATGAGGTAGGTAGGTGAATGGGTGTGGGTACTGAGGCAGGTCGGTAGTTTTCACATGCCCACTTTTACCAAAGCATTATGAACAATTGCAAGTAAGTGCCAACATCATTGTCTGGTTATAAAGCCTTTGGCTTCCGTAGCACTCGAGTCATGCGACACTAATATTGAGAAAACTCTGTAAATATTGACTAAACTTCAAAGTATGGGAAAGCTTTCCTTCATAAGTGGTTTTAAAATGTTGCTTGGAAGTCTGGAGGTTGCCCAGGGCGTAAACACGCTCGCAGAATGTGTATATGTGCACGAGTGTTCTGTATAGCATGCGGACCTTGTATTAGTTTTGTTGTGCATCTTTACCGTGTTTGTTAGTCTGTGGGATTGTTTTCCTTAAATTGTTTGTGTTACATAATAGAACGGAAATTATTATTGTGAAACGGTGGTGTGCTAGGACCGAGTTAAGAATGATACATTTCACACACAAGCAGTTTATACAGCAAACCCTTAATATTCGGGGGTCCAATAATCGCGGTTTTCCGTATGCACGTCGAATTTATTGTTGTGCTGTTTGCAGCGTTGTGTTTTAAATATTAGTGGGGTTGTGTTATAAGTATTAGCAGGGTTGTGTTTTAAGTATTAGTGGGGTTGTGTTTTAAGTATTAGCAGGGTTGTGTTTTAAGTATTCGCGGGGTTGCGCTAAAGTATTGGCGGCCGTAGCTCGCGACTGACTATCCGTGGTGAGGCATTGGAGCGGCGGTGGGTCATGGGAGTTGTCCCCCTACGCGACACCGCTCTCCCGCCCTGTCGACCTCTGTCTGCTGCACCGTTTGCAACGTGAGAGCTCTCCTTTACGTGCGTATACAGTACCGTTTAGTAGCCAAGTGTTTAATCGTGCATCGATATTTTAACTTTTAAATATGTTTGTGTTCATGATTATTAAAGGTAAGTTACATAACACAGCTTGAGCGTATTGGCACAAGATAGCAGAAAGTGGAAACAATTGACAAAATGTACAGGGGACACCTACTGCCAGTCTTCCCATGGGTCGTGATGATGATGATGGTAAAGAATGGAAGTGACATGTGGAAGTGATGTCACTTCCACATTTTGGGATTGACCCTAAAAATGTTTTTTCCAGATTATCCCCAAATTTTATAACTAGCTACATTTTTTATTTATTGGATTAACCTGAAAATTCGGATAATGAATAATATCCCCATTTTAACTAAACTATGAAACTTTTTTTATTTTACCAGATAAGGACCACTGAGCTATGAAGCTCTTTTCAGAAGCGACTTAGCTATCACAAATGATAGCTCAACAAAGTGGCTTTTCGTCATGTGGAAATTTACTGCAGCAAAATACTCTAAACGCATGTTTCTAAATTTGGAGGGAAAGACCGGAGGACCCATAGAAAAATTCACGCGACCACGGGGAAAACATATACAGCAGGCGTCAGGGTCGGGATCGAACCCACCACCTCCTGTATACCAGGCGAAGGTAGTTTACATCTCTTAGCCACCGTGGTAACCTACTACCCCCCAGTGAGGCCTGTGCATAAAGCCACTCGAGCTCTCTGGGAACATTCTTGAAAGTCAATTTAAAGTTATTTTTTCCTGTCATTAATGCAATGTCGAATTCTTGACAGCCTAGGTAGGTATCTTAAAAAGATGAGAGCCGCAGGGATGTGTCGCATGATTTATGTGAATTCTCTTAATGGAGAAAATGTGTTTCATGAGATAGCGCAGCAGTGGAAGATGGTTGGAAAGCAATTGGGAGAGAGGGTGAGAGGGTGGATGGATAAATGTGGGGACATCCTTCCCTGTCTATCTGTGACAAGGCAGAGCAGTGACGCATTTGCAGCTTGCTGCGGAGGTCCACGGTTCAAGCCCCTGGTTAATACCACGAGGGCATTAACCGTAGAACCGTACCGCGCGGCCCACTTAACAGAGGACGTTAAAGTTCCCGCGACATTATTCGGAATAGAGATGGCTGTGTCTCCTGGCGTCAAAGTTCAAATTGCTCGGTACGTAGCAGCGTCGTCCCTGACAGCAAAGCGACTGCAGGCTGCGCCTATGGAAGACGGCACCGTCGTGATTGCGCCGCCACAGTAAGAACACCCTGCGAGTGCCGAATGTGCTGATGGTTTAATTTGATTTTGGCCTGCAGAGGATTGCAAAGGCACGGTGACCGTGGAGCTGGTGAAGAAGGAAGGCTCTTCGCTGGGTCTCACCGTGTCCGGCGGAGCAGACAAAGACTCCAAACCCCGCGTCTCCAGCCTCCGTGCCGGAGGCGTGGCAGCGAAGTACGTACTCCCGCTTATTCTCAACAAAGCGTGCATTTTTTAAATGTATTTCACCAATTTGTGTGATGGTGGTAGGCAAATGCCACGGCGGAACGGTTAGTGAACTTGACTTTCTAATCCAGAGGTCACCGGTTTGATTCCATCTCTCGGAGCCGCAGTTAAATCAAAGGGGCACGTTTTTGTCCACCCAGCGGTGTAAATGGATACAGCACAGTTCGTCGATCGACAGGTTGCGTGTGGTGGAGTAAAGCGTGGGCACGCCCACTTATAAGGCATCAGTGCGGAAGAATAGGCATAATACCCTCTAATGCCCTCTAGAGCTCAGTGGTTTGAGCGAGCAAGCAATTGCACAGTTGCGCCTGATTGCAGCCGTGCTAATGCAGCCGCGGGTTGTGAGGTGACGCCACTTTCGTGGTGCTGTCACTGTGGCAGGGGACAGCCACAATAAGGGACCTCGCCGGCGTAGGCCTGGAGCCGCTCTCACTCAACACGACAGGGCTCTGTGAGAGTCGCGTTTGCCATATGGCTATCTCTAATATATACGTACACTCGCAGACATTTTCCCACCAATTTTCTTTATGACTGGGCTGAAAACCGCCAACTTGCTAGTTTAATCAAATCTATAATTTTTACGAATCGTCTAATTTTATAGGGTGCTCAGGAGGGTTCCTTATGACACTTCTCCATCGAGTCGGAGTGAACTCGGAAGCTGAGAGCAAGGGTGCAAAGGCTTACCCTTGAAAAGCGATGGTGCGTAATGCCTTTCACGGCCTATCTGTGTGACCCTTTTTGCCAGTATCAAAAGGTTAAAGCCAAGTATTTTTTTCCTTCGTAATTTTAGTATATTGGTCGAAGTTATGTGCTGTGAAGAAGGGCCAGTGCCTGAAACGTCGCGGATTGCATATCTGTTTTTTTCTTTTAAGGCATTGTTGTTGTTGACGAGCGTGCTAATTTTTCTTGTGACTGGTGCTCATGCACAACTGGTGGCCAACGCAGTATCACCAAATAATTTCTCAGTATCACCGAATAATTTCTCAGTATCACTGCATAATTTCTCAGTATCACCGAATAATTTCTCAGTGTCACCAAATAATTCTAAGAAGTTAAAGGTAGCTTCATGCTGGAACTCGTGGAAATCGAGGCCACATTGTTCCCTTTATCTGCCTAAGATTGGGAGACGAAAATGTTCTGCCAAAACAATCAGTATCTTCCTTGGTTTGAAATATTGGAGCGTGCTGCAGTTATAACTCAGTGTTGTGGTTTAAATGTGAATTCATTCACATTCTGTTGCTGCTTTATGCACACTGACGATGTTTAAAATACTCTTTGCACGCTGACACGTGATTTATTAAATCATTTGCATTACATGCTTCGTGTTTGCTGGAGTCGTAAAAGTTCATTGCTGATGGGCATCTGCATAATTTGTAAACAGCTTACATTTCCTACTCCGAGGGTGACCTCCACAAATTAAAATATAACTTCACGACGATGTAAAACTTTAGTCCTCCGTAGGGGTCTAAAAAACAATGTTTTGCGTCTTGGGCTTGAGGATTAGTAAATTCTTATAGCGCAAGGGCATCGCAAATGGGCTTGGTATGTTGGACTTCTTTCGCACCGTACGTAGCCAACCATACTAATTGGAGGTGTGAGGGAAGGACAAGAAACGAAACAAAAAAACAGTTATGAATGATTTTTATCTAGATTTAAAAGTGCATAGCTTTGGTGGCTTCCTAAATTCAGAAGGAAGAGCGTTCTAGACGGCCGCAGAAGCACATTTGAAGGCGCGCGATGCGGTGACCGTCTTTGTTCGATGGCCAGTCAAAAGCTGCTCCGAGGGTGACCGGAGTTCGTGTGATGGTTTATGTTCCTTGACAAAATCAGCAAGGTACTGTGGTTCATTTGTGGCAAGCACTTTGTGTGTAATGAGAGCGAACTTATGTATTCGTCCGGCAACCAGAAACCAATGCAGCTTGGCGAGCACTGAATGGACACAGTCGGATCTTACGGTACCCGTCATGACACATTCCAGACAATTTTGTACACGCTGCAGCTTGGTAATGTTTTTTTCCAGACGTCCCGTAGAGTAGTGAGTTGGAATAATTGAGCCTTGTCGATACGATGATACATGCCACCGTGTTGGCTATGTCACCAAATAATAGTGGTCGAATGTGTCGTGGAGCCCTGATATTAAAATTGCAGGATCTGACCATATTTTGCACGTGGTGATCAAATTGACATATTCTGGTCGACTATTGTGCCAATGCTCTTTAGATTAATAGGAAACTGAATCCTGTAGTCCATGACCGCCACACCTGGATCCGCTCACTATTTTTTTTTCCGCGTGAGCGTGAGTGCCAACCAGCAGAACCTCTTGATCTTTCTGGATTAAGCAGCGTTTCGTGCAAACCACACGTTCACCGCTGGCGTACAATCTTCGAGGTTACCGAGGCTTATAATTGATGATAAGGACCATCTCTGGGACCATTGAGGGTAAATGTGATCATCTCTAAGGAATACAAAGACTCTTGAGTGTTGTGGGCTGTTGAGCATTAAATGTGAGCGTTGTCAGAGAAGGAAAGCTGACGTGGTGTAACGGTCAGCACACTGCATTTGCAACCCAGAGGTGTCCGGTTCCGTCTACCAGCGAGGTATTGCAGTTGAAACAATGGTGCAAAGGTTCATAAATCCCCTCCGGCGTCTTGTCTCGCCAGTAGGTTGTGTGCGGTGAGGTAAAGTGTAGGTACTCCCACCTCTTCAAAGATGTCTGGACAGTCTGGAAGTATTGTGTGCCTAAATTCCATGTCGATAGTGGCTTCTCTAGAGCTCCCTCCAGTGGAGGGCCCGTTCTGCCAGCAGTGGCATGAGCACAGAAATTGCAGGGCTGCGCCTCTATATGTATCTCTATACATTGCAATAGGGATTGCCCCTGAACCCTGTTAATGACACAATGCAAATACTGCACAGTGTTGCTTCTTCCACAGATGGGTTGTAAATATCAATATTTATGAATAAACATTTGTTGAAACACACATGATTTCATTCTAATGAATTATTAACTCCCATTTTCGAAAGTTCAATAATTGCTGTGATTTTTCTACAAGAATGCTGAATGAACACCTCCTGAACATATTTGGAGAATAGCGTGTCGAATGTTATAGGTTTCCGAAACACTCCCGCAATTATGTTTAGCGTTTTCAAGCTTTAAATGGTGATAATTTTTCGCTTGGTTTAACATTGTTCAATTCACTTTTCACATAACGGTCTTATATTCCCACTGACGAGAGATACTGACATTTAAATGCAGTGTATGTAGCCATGATGTGGGCTGTGTTAAAAAAAAAATGTTACAATGAATGTTTGCAAAAAAATGCCTTATTCAAAGCATAGATCAGGTTTTAAAAGCCGTATTGCACATCTATAGTATTATATTCTTAGTTTTTTCGGTAAAGTCACGTTGAAGAGAAACAACAAAATAACAAAATATATATAAAACAATAAAAAATTCTCACGACGTTTCGACCATAACTCAAACGGTCATCATCAGGTGTGTTGGTTTGCATAAATTTATTTTTAAACGGCACATTTATTTATTTATAAAAAACGTTGGCGTCACGCGCAGCGATTTGGCAGTTTGCCCAGGACTAGTCCATCTATTTTTTTTTTTTAAAGAGGAGGGGGGAGACGAATTTTTTTTATAATGTATGCTGTCTGAAAGCCACTGTAAGGGTGAAAAATCAATTAAGAACTGAAATGGTTTATCAAATATTTCCAATGATTGCTAAGATAGAATCCATCTTCTCGGTTGAAATTGTCTCTGTGCTTGTATATGTGGATAGCCTCATGAACGAATCTCTCATGGAAGCCAGATGGTTTACAAAGAACCTCCGTGTTGGAAAAGTCAATGGCATGTGAGCCTACTGAATTAGAACAATGATCTGCTACGGCCGAGGTGTTGGTCCTACCGTGTTTAAGGTCTGCTTTATGTTCACGAATGCGGTCCGAGACATGGCGTTTGGTTTCTCCAATGTAACTACTACCACAGAGGCAACTTAGTTTGTAGACACCAGGGTATTGTATGTCCGGAATCACATCTTTTACAGACGGAACCAGATCACGGATTTTATGTAATGTGTTGAAACGGACCTGGATCTTGTGTTTATTCAAGATTTTGGAGATCTTTTTTGTGATCCCAGCAATGTAGGGTAAAGTGATGGTTTTGAAAGGCTCCTCAAGAGGGTTCTTCTTCATGGTTTGAGTGATAGCTTTGTGGATTGTATAGTCGGAGTAACCATTAGCCATAAGAGCTTGGTGTACGTGCTTGAGTTCACTGCTTATGTGTTCCTGGTCGGATATGCATTGGGCTCTATGATACAGAGTCTTGATGAGAGAATTCTTCTGTGATGGATGGTGGTGGGAATCCGGTTTCAGATAAGCATCCGTATGGGTAGCTTTCCTGTAGACAGAGTGGCTCATTGAACCATCAGGTCTCTTTTTAATTAGGACATCCAAAAAAGGTATCTTGCCATCTATTTCGACTTCCATGGTAAATCTGATGGCTGGGTGTATGGAATTGATGTGGTCGAAGAATTGGTCTAGAGCAGGCCGGCCATGTGGCCAGATGACAAAAGTGTCATCCACGTACCTCTTCCATAAGGTTGGGCGCAGAGTGGCAGTCTGGATGGCGTCAGTCTCAAATTTCTCCATGAAAATGTTAGCTATAACTGGAGAGAGGGGGGAGCCCATTGGGGTGCCCTCAGTTTGTTTGTAGAAAGTTCCATTCCAAGTGAAGTATGTATTGGTTAAACAGTGTCTCACCAGGGGGGGTACCTCAGTGTTTAGTCCTTGATGAACCAAGTCTTCAATGATTGCAATGGTGTCAGGTACAGGAACCTTGGTGAATAAGGAAACTACATCAAAACTGACAAGCAGGTCGTCTGGGGACAGGTAAATACCCTTGATTGTCGATACCACGTGAGTAGAATTTTGTACCGCAGAGGTGG